ATAATTCAGTAAAATCCTTTGACCACACCACCCCCCCCCCCTCCCCCTCCAGATTCTGCACAGTTTTCCTATATTTTTTAATGGAACCCTGACTACATTTTTTCAGCATTTTTACAGATTTAGTATTCACTGTTCATCAACAAAAACTGAATGATTGTGAAATAAATAATGGGAATGAATAATGAAATAGTTCCCGCCAATCTCGGCTCCCTAAACTCGGAATAATAGTGCTTGGTCTATTGTTCGGTAGGCGAAATTTTGCAAGTGGTCCACGAGAGTGGTCCACGGGAGTGGTCCGTGGTCCACGGGAGTGCTCCATGGACCAGGTCCACGAAGGTAGTCCATGGACCTGGGGTCCGCGTTTTGTCGTTTCCCACTATTAAATGCGATACCACACCAAACTTTTTGTTACCAACAAACCATCTATCATTTCTCCACAATCGGTATAGTATGGTCCCTTTTTGTAGATGCCCCCCCCTGACAAATTCTTTAAAAATGCCCTGCTTAGAAACACTAGTCACTAGACATGCAATTATTGTTTACCTACGTCTGCGGATCTGTAGAATTCAGTATAGAACACTATACATTTATCGAGTAATCTGTAGTATTACATATTAATTGTTTCAGTGTGGGTATTAAATTGGGAAATTCGAAATATATAATATACAATAGCTTCGGGTTTCAGGAACTTTACGATACTTCACGTATTTATAGGACACAGTCTTTAAAATATGCGGATGGTATTACGAGAAGTACAGTTTTTACTAGTTTTGAATGTATAAATTTATGCTATTTTACTCACATGTTGCTCGTACTGCGTAACATTTTCTCTTTGTCCCACAGTCGCCAGAAGTCAACAGCACGTTCCCCTCTTTGTGTACGTACACGAACGACTAGTTTCTATTTTCTTCCTATTTTCGTGCTCGATAATAAATCTCTCCTGCATTTTTCTTTCCCTCTCAGATCTTTTTTCTTTTTTAAACATCCCCTGTACATCTCTCTCGCTCTTTCTTGTTGAATTATTTTTCGTCTTTTACGACGAATTCCTCGATCGTGTTCGGCCTGGAAAGCCGACCTAGCTTCGAAAGTATATGCTCGCTCTGTCTCGCTGGTTGCACTGAGATTTCTCCCAGATCGTGACGTATCCCACCATTAGCAAGTGCGCCACTCGCTGTGTGGAATGTCGTGTTAAAATGCGCCATTTCAACCGACTTTACGTAAGCTCATACGACCAGACGAAACAGAGAAAAAGCATATTATTTCTTGAGATTTGCCGTCCTTGCTAGCTGATGATCAAGTGCAAATTCCCGCGCGCGCGCTTTGTTTACATATTGCTGCACAAATATTAC